AGTGTGGTGCAGGCGGAGGGGTCGGGGAGGGACATTTGTAATACTTTCAACAATAAAGATAAATACAATAAAATAAAAATAGAAAAATGTAAGTAAGGAAACAAAGAAAAAACAAAACCAAAGCTCTCGGTCCGTTCCAGAGAGTCACACTTCCAAGTGAAATGAGCTCCTCTTGGGCGGAGCAGACACTGCGTCTACCAGTTTCCAAGAATCCGGTTTGCACAGCTTTCGAAATGAAGCAACTTTTTAACGCTGGTGCACACCCACACCCCAGGTGGGGTCACTGGTACCGACCCACTGATGTCATCAGGTGAGAAAGCTGCAGGACCCGGGGGCAGCCGCTTCTCCTGCGTGGGGAGAGGCTGGGGCGCAAGGGGAGACCCCCGGGTTTGAGTAGGAGCTGGCTCTGCTGTTGGCTGCGGAAACCCAGGCAAGTCTCTCTGTAGCTATGAGGTTCCAGGGCCTCATCTGTGAAATGGGAAAACCGTCCGCCTGGTGATGTTTGGTGGACGTCTGGTGTATTTTAGGGACTTACAAAGGATTTCACAGAATCAGGCATTTGCAGCTGAAATGAACCCTGAGGGAAGGCTGGTTTCGCTGTGGGCACCTTCCTTCCTTCCTTCCCTTTCCTTCCTTCCTTCCTTCCTTCCTACCTCACTTCCTTCTTGCCTCCTTTCTAAATGAAAGAATACTATATTGTTAGTTCAAGTTTAAGGCCACTTAAATTTAGACTTTTTCTGTCCTTTCAAACAGTTATCTCCAAACTTTAAACCATCACCCCTATCATTGGAAAATTGCTGCAGGCATACCAACGTTATCTAAATATTTATTCGTTTATAAAGTATAATCATGCCATTAATAATATTTACATTATAATCAAAATAGAAACCATTTAAAGATGAAATTTTAAATACTTAATTCTTTTAAAATTGTATTTGATTTTTAGTATTACAAAACATTTTGCTTTCTAAATATGACCGTTAACTTTTTTTTTTCCAATCCTTACCCAAGGATTTTTTTTTTTTTTTATCCTCACCCGAGGATATTTTTCAATTTTTTGTTCAGATAGAGTGGGAGGGAGAGAGAGGAAGGGAGAGAGAGAGAAACATCGATGTGAAGGGACACATCGAGTGGCTGCCACCCGCACGACCAACCAGGGCCGGGGACAAACTGCAACCGAAGTACATGCCCTTAGCGGGAACCGAACCCGGGTCTCTCCGGACCGCAGGCCGACGCTCTAACCGCTGAACCAAACTGGCCAGGGCTTTTATTTATTTATTTATTTTATTTTTTAGGACTTTTTTTTTTTTTTAAATCTTCAGATAGAGTGGGAGGGAGGGAGAGGGAGGAAGAGAGAGGGAGAGAGAGAGAAACCATAGACATGAGAGAGACACAGTGACTGGTCACCTCTCACACAACCCGGACCAGGGCTGGGGACGAACTGCAACTGAGGCATGTGCCCTTGGCCAGAATCGAACCTGCAACTCATTGGTCTGCAGGACGACATTCTAACCACTGAGCTAAACCGACCAGGGCTGACCGTTAATATTTTAAATAGGATCATTGTGTTGAATATGCTTTGTCATGTTTGGGAAACCTTGGGTTACCCTTTTGTGAAATAGCCATTAAAACTTGGTTATATGGTTCACTTTATTTTGACACTTGGTTCCAGAGTCCATCAGGGCTGAAAAAGATATTTTACAGAGATATGTAGATCCAACTGGAAGAAATACCTCATTAACTGAGCTTTATTAACTCCCAAACTCATTTTTCAATCTCATCTATCTTTCCTGCAAAGATATTTGTTGAAATTTTCCCCAATTTTTCAACAATATGCATGTAGTGGATGGAAACATATCTAAACATCTGTTTCAAAACGCTCTTGCTGTGGCTTCAATTTCTTCAGAAAAGAATTATTTTCTCACTAATAGCTTAATATCAATTCTACCTTGAAAGGACAGGTAGTGTGTTTACTTTTTAAAACATATGTTCTAGATGACATATAACAATAGCCACTTGAGGACACCAGAAATGACAGCGTGTGCACAACACTTTTCTTGTCAAGAAGAGAATGAAAGACTCATTTCCGGGTTCTGCAGCCACTTGAATGCACTGCCCTGAGATGACCCTCGTGCCACCAGAGACCTACCTGGCCATCCCGTCGCGTGGCGAAGTGTTAGAAAGATCCAATTTGAAGGCTTTGTTTATGAAATTAATCACACTGATAACATTCTATAGGGACGTACACTGTACTTCTTGGCAACATACTGGACCTAGGACGAGGAGAAGATGCCGCACCCCTCCTCCTTACAGCCCCCCATCTCTGTGCGAGTTGTCTGCTTACAGTGACAGCAGTCACGTGCAAAAGTTGTCTCAGGCCTGGACCACAGGAGGGCACCTTAGGGGATTGTCTTGAGCATCTCATGGAGGATGTGCACCCTACTTGGAGATTTCTACACAAAGGACTTCCTCCAATTAAACTCAAAAACTTGTTTTTCTTTAGTCTCTGGCTTACCTTTCCCTTCCCTTCTTCTGCCAGATTCAGGCATCAAAGGACTGTACCCCCAGGGAAGTTGGCTGGGGTTGCTCTGGGAAGGCCTGGCAAGTGCCCCCCCCACCCCAACACACACCGAACACTCCCCACGATCATTCATGGAGCCATTGTTTTGTGTCGCTCTACATTGTGTTCCATGAATACAATCGATTCTTTTTGTCCGCTATAGTTACTTTCTATAACATCTCTGTAAACACTGAATTAAAGAATTCTGAACCATTGCTTCTAGGGGAAATACAGGATTTTGTTCCTACTCGCTTCTGGTCACAACATTTTTGTCAACCAGTCAATACATAACTTTGCTTTATCTGTATTCTGTTTAAAGGAAACACTGAATATATATCGACTCATTCACATGGAAGTCAGGGCCAACGGCATTGTAGCTCATGCCTAAAGGAAGCTTATCTAACATGTTTCCTTCACACCCCAGACTTCTTGCATTTACAGCCTCTAGACAGCACTTCCGCTCTGTGCTCAGGAGCCCTTTAAACAGCAGAATCACCAACGAAAAGTGCAACTGAAGCACAAAATAGACAAAAAAGCAGACACGGTCCCAGTAGGAGAGCTGGGACCACGAGAAGGGACAGTGTGGCCTCGTTGGACCTCAGCTGACAACGTGCACATTTTCGCTACTCTACATGTTCCTGGATGACACCAAGCCCTAATTTGGGGATTGCAAATGCATTGTCAGCGAGTAGATGAACACAAATATGGAATCCTTGAGTAATGACGATTGACTACATCATCTCATGACATCCTTTGGAAATAGGTGCTATTATAATAACTTGTGAACCCAGCTGTCCTCTCTTCCGGCTACCTTCTCAGAGACTTTGGGGGGCTACTGCAGCGAAGTGACTTATCCAAAAACATCCAGTGCCTGTGTGACCCATGGGCTAAATCCCAGGTCTCCCAGCCATAGTTGGTGCCCTTTTTACTATATACTTATGGGACCAGATACAACTGTTTTAACTTACAGATGGGACTCTATGTTAAAGTTTTTGCACACTCCGCTCCCTCCCCCTGACTCCAATAATTTTTTTTTCTGCAATAATTAAAGTCTTCTTTTGACCAGACTGTTTGATTCGATGACTTGTAGTATATAGGCCCAATGACAAATATGTATGAATAAAAAACAAAGAAAGATCAAAACCGGAATGAAATCGGGCACAAAATGAGATATTAAAAGAACTCAATAAAATATCTGCAGCAAGAACAAGCTTTGAATTTTTAAATGTAGTTCTCCAGAGAGCAATTCAGAGATGGATAATATGAGAGGGTAATGATGCGGAAAAAGCTAAACATGCTGTAGAATTTCAAAGATTCGAGCACATGATGTGTAAATCGGAAAGATGTGCCCAGAAGTAATATTTTAGTTGGAAAATTACTAATGTATTCTATTTACAAATATATGTATTTTGATGCTAGATTATCTCACATTTTGTTTTATTTATTTTGGTATTTCAACAATTATACAAAATTAGGTCATTGTTTATTTGGCTAAAAGAAGTACAGAATTTACAACCCAAATTAAAAATGTCGTAACTAATGTGGCCTGCAGGCTGTTTGATAAATGTGTACACTTCAAATGAACCAACAAATTAAAAAAGAAGAAGAAGAAAAGGCAAAGATTCATTGTGTTCTCCGAGATCCTCTGCTTATCATCAATTGGTACATCATTACTTTTATATGTGAGATTTCGATTTCAAAGAATTCCCAGCCACCTTTCATGTTCAGACTTTCTGCATTCCAAAGTCTCTTCCCCACCACTGTTAGAACTTCACTCATTCTTCGGGGGTGATAATTCAGCTATTCTTATCCAATGATACTTACCAAACACCCGCATATGTACGATCTGACAAAATTTTTTTATTGATAGAACAAGATGTTGTTACTGCTCGATTCATTTGCATAGTCATAGGAGGAATTTAAAATTCCTATTCAAGGCCCTAACATACCATGTACCCATGTCTGTCTGAACTGGTATCTCAGAATCCATTCTTCCCATTTTTTTTTTTTTTATCCTCACCCGAGGACATTTTTCCATTTTTTGTTCAGGTAGAGTGGGAGGGAGAGAGAGGAACAGATAGAGAGAGAGAAACATCGATGTGAAAGGAACACACCGAGTGGCTGCCACTCGCACGACCTACCAGGGCCGGGGACAAACTGCAACCGAGGTACGTGCCCTTAGCGGGAACCGAACCCGGGTCTCTCAGGACCGCAGGCCAACGCTCTAACCGCTGAGCCAAACCGGCCAGGGCCATTCTTCCCATCTTGTAAGAGATGTGATTCTCACTCGTGCCCAGCATTTTCTTAACATTAATTTTGTAATGAACCATCTCTCCCCATAACAGAAACTCACTTGTAATTTCAAGAGTAATTTTTATTGATCAGAAATATTTTGCAGATAGAAAAAAAGATAGTTTTCTTATCACTATGACATTTTCCATTTTGAAAATTTTCTTTTCAAAGATTCAAACCCCTGTCGTTCTCTTGGAGAAAAGTAGCTTATCCATCAATAAGGATCCCACCCTTTATCATAGATGAATCGATTTATCATGTCAAAAGATCTCAGAGGCTGGTCATAGGGTAAAATGTGTCCTCCACCTCGAACGATGACCTTAAAGAAGAAAAACAAAAGAAAAATGGAAATTTTGAGAAATGCATATTCTAAATAAATGGCAAGTTTTGATCAGATAAAAGTATTTTGAAATCTTACATGAATACAGACCATATTCTATTAATCCATGCCTTGGGATATGCCAATGTCTTGCTTTTGATAGCTTTAATAATAGGTACCTTATGGTGGGAAAGCTTTGAAGTTGTGTAGCTATTTAATATTACAAAAGGTTGTGTTTGCCCGGCTGGTGTGGCTTAGTGGTTGAGTGTTGACCCATGCACCAAAAGGTCACTGGTTCGATTCCTGGTCAGGACACATGCCCAGGTTGTGGGCCCGATCCCCAGTGGGGGGCATGCAGGAGGCGGCCAATTGGTGTTCTCTCTCCTCAATGTTTCTATCTCTCTTTCTTTCTCTCCCTTCCTCTCTCTAAAATCAATAAAGAACAAAATAAATAAATAAAAACAGGTTGTGTTCATCATTAACTTGTACAAAACTAGAAAATTCCTCCTTGTCTCTTTCCTTTTGGGAGGGAGCCATCTGCTCCCCAAGGCTGTGCTATAATTCCTACCTGGTTGGGCCCCGTGAGAAGGAGAGACCACCCAGGTCAGCTCTGCCTACAACTGGATGGAGGGATGTACCCAATTCCGCCCTTCGATTAGCTGGTCTGCTTGACCCTTACACTGAGCTGTACCTTCCACGTTAGCCTGTACCATTAATAAAGGGGATATTGTGATTATCCAAAAAATTAAAACAACAAACAAAAAATCCTTGCCCCCTGAAGTTTTAAAAGGCCATTTTTTGGAGCAGCACAGAGTTAGAACATTCTTTTTTCCCAACATTCGATTATGAAAAATTTTCAAACACACAGCAAATTTGGAAGATTTTCACAGATGCACCATTCAGGTTCTCTCATTAACACCCACTTTATTCACTTCCTCACATATGGATCTCACTATTTACGTATTAATCCTTCTTATTTTTTGACACATTTCAAAGTCAAATAGAGATATCAGTATACTTTCCCCCAAAATGTATGCAAAATTAACAACAGTGACATGGACTAGTCTCAAGTGTAGACTCACCAAGTTTAGGTAACTGTGGATACTGCTGTCCCCTCTCAGGATGTATAAAACATTCCTAAAGCATGTAGTCGAGGGGATTTCGGACCTATGCATGGACCTCCAAGGGGTCCACCCTTGTGCTAGGCTCCCCACTGTCAAAGCGGGGACCAGTCTCTGTACTCAGAAGGCCTCTAGTTCCAGCAGATGTCCCAAGCAGAGGACAGGGGAAGTCTTCCTGATTCAACCTACAGGGGAGGGACAGACACCAGGGGATGGGAGACCACACGCCAGAGAGATCAGCGTGGCCTGTGATGTCCCGGGGCACGTGGAGAGCAGACAGGGTCAGCAGACAGGGTGGATGAACGAGTGAACATGTGCAGTACAAGGTCACATGCAGGACCTTCTAGCTGCTGAGTCACAACCAGCAATTGAAAGCCTTTGACAAGACCCTTCATAAGAGGCTGGGCTCATTTTACCTGCTTCAGTCTGATGGGAACTGAGGCAGAAAAAAAATACAAAGTTATTACGTAGTGCATTTATTGTATGAATCCCCCCATCATGCACCGTCTTACGCACACCCTTGCCATGAGGTAAGAAGGAGCAGTGTGACTGGATGGATGACCTGGCAGCGCAGGTGTCCAAGTCGTGCACGTTCACATCAGCGTCGAGGGGACTGAGCTTTTTGGAGCTATGAGGTGGTGTGTCCAAGTCCCACGATTGTAAGTAAGAGAATTAGCTAGAACCCTAGCTTCCAAGGCAAACACCAGTGTTTTAAATCAAATCATTGTACTCGTACAACAATTCCTTGCTCTTGGGCCAAACTTGACGGCTTCATCACAGCCCCCTGAGGGAGGTAAGGAGAGACCCCTCCACCGACGTGGGAGTGGGCTCGCCCCTCACACTCAGCTGGAAACGCTGCCTACGCCGCGCTCCGCCGGGCAGCTGTGCCCCGTTGCGGGGACAGAGCCCCCACCTACCATTTGTGTCCGGGCTTGCGTCTGGAAACCCAGCATGTCCCACTTCTGATCGCAGACGGAAAGTAACAGGTGTGTGACAAGAACCCCTGCAGAGGACTCCAAAGGAAAACTTTTGCTGCCCCCACACTCTCAGGGCAGAATTCTCTTCCTGTAGATTCCCGTCCAAATCTCTGCTTTGGCAGGAATCTGGTGAGTGATTTTTATGCAACCTCAGCTCAGCAGAGGACACCGAACAAAGTCATGTTTGAGACAAAATCCAGCTGCTTCAACTGGAAGTGAGTTCGGCAGGGATGGTCCAGAAGGGCAATACACCGAATACCCAAGAGCCAAGGTCATCGTGTTTCCAGGACCAGCCAGCAGCTAATGGGGGGACAGCACATGTGCTGTGGCCCGGGCCCGGGCACTCAGAACGCAGGAGCAGGGCTCCGAGCACAGCACGCTGGGTGACCCTGGGCAAGCAACCCGACCTCTCTCAGCCTCGTTTCTTCAGACGATAGGCAAAGAAGTATTACAACTGGGGACAGTTGTGAATTGTGTGCGAAATTACTGGAAGCAAGTCCATGGAACATTGAGCACGATGCCTCGCCTGGGATGAGACTCAGCAGTATTAGTCACTGTCATTATTCTTCTAACAATTATCCTCGTGCAAAATCCAGCATCAAAATGCTGGCATCAGCTACCCTCGAATATTGTGCTCCCACACTGGCATCAAAAACCTTGGTTTGAGGAAGCTGTTTAAAACTTGAACATGCATAAATATAATTAAGCTTGTTATAATGGACTGCTGGGCCCCCAGAGAGGGCCCAACTCTGAAGGTCTGGGGCAAGGTCTAAGGCCTTGCATGTCTAACAGTTCCGAGGGAATCCTGATGCTGGTCCAGGGACTTCTCTGTGAGAACCACTGTTTAGAAGAACATCTATTCTGGCACAATCAGGCCATTCTCTATTTACTTCAAGGGAGACTACAAACATGAGTGTAACACCTGCTCATGACCTCACCTTAGTGTATTTCTCCCTGATCATCTGCTCTCCTGGTGTTTACACACATACACGCACGCACGCACGCACGCACACGCACACACACCTTCTATGTCCAGTATAATCACGTGGTTAAGAAGAGATGACGCGGTTAAGTGTTAGAATTCTTACTCTCAGAGACCTGCCTGTCTCCCAGGCCAGTTCTGAGCTGCCATATGCAATGACCAAATGCCGTCAAAAATGCTGGGGATTTGGTGAAGATGGGAAAGGAAAAGTCACTCAGCAGCAGTGTTTCTCACTTGCCACAGACTGTCCAAGTATGTCTCTAGGAGATGCACGTGCAGCATTCCTGATCTTAGCCTCAACAATAAATGCGTGCGAGACACAAACCCCTCTGCTGGCTACAGGCTCGCTGGTCCCCACTCAGACCTCAAGGACGCAGATCACTCCACGGTTTTTAAGGTTGTAACACGATGCAACAGGGCCATCATTACCTATTTAAATGTGACAAGATTAGCCCAGCTGGTGTGGCTCAGTTAACTGAGCATTGTCCCATGGACTGAGAGGTCACAGTTTGATTCCCAGTCAGGGCACATGCCCAGGTTGTGGGCTTGATCCCCAGTGGGGGGTGTGCAGGAGGCAGCCGATTGATGTTTCTCTCTCACATCAATGTTTCTATCTCTCTCTCCCTTCCTCTCTCTCTCTCAAAAAAAAAAAAAAAGTCAATAAAAACGTATTTAAAAAAATTAATGTGACAAGATTAATCTGTCTCCCTGGATAGAAATGGCCTCATCACCAGAAACTGTATATTTAGGCAGTTTCCACACTAAAGCCCAAACCGCTACACTCATGGGATCCAGATGTCCCAGGGGGTCACAATGTGTCGTGAATTTTAACAGGGTTATATAAAACATGTTAAAGCTTCAATTCACTTTGTTTTTTAGAAAATTGTACCATTCTGACTGGAACTAGAAGCATGGGCCTGATGGTAAAGGTCTCCCAGTTGTGGCTTTTTAGAGGACAGAATACGGAGGGAAATCCCCAGTGCGTGTGTGGCTGTGGATGTGTAGGGGACAGCACGGGGTCTGGGAAAAGCAGATCACTAGACAGAGTGTGCAGGGTGGGAGAGGGGAGGGAAGCATCGCAGACAGAGGAAACAGTATGCCTGAGCCTGGGGCATGGAATTCACGGATATGCCCATGCCTAAACCTGCAAATGGTTCTATTTATGAAGGGATAGAGGGAAAACAGAGGAGGGTAAACAGGTAAACCCCATATGACATGCTGCTGAGATGTGTGGACCTAATCCCATAGAATTTGTGTGTGTGAGTTAAAATGCACATGACAAATAAAATGACCATTCTAACAATTTTATGGTAAACAATCCAGTAGCATTTATTACAATGCTGTGCAAATGTCACCACCATCTAGTTGCAGACTATTTTCACCATCTCTAAGGAAATCCCCTTCCCTGTAGACATCACTTCCCACTCTGCTCTCCCTGCCAGCCCTGGCGATCGCTGACCAGCTCTCTGTCTCCACGGGTTTGCCTGTCTGGATATATGCTAGACAGCGGTTCTCAACCTGTGGGTCGAATGACCCTTTCACAGGGGTCGCCTAAGACCATCGGAAAACACGTATTTCCGATGGGGATTCATAACAGTAGCAAAATTACAGTTATGAAGTAGCAACAAAAATAATTATATAGTTGGGGGTCACCACAACATGAAGAACTGTACTAAAGGTCGTGGCGTGAGGAAGGCTGAGAACCACCGTCCAGAGGGTCAGGGTGGTGAGGTGTTAGATTTGCGCTGGGGAGAGATGACTTACTACGTGCTGGGGGCTGGTTTGAAAGGGAATGACAACGGTCACGTGAGGCTAGCTGCTCAGGTGGAGACGAGGAGGGCTCATAGGACAGCTGACGAGAAGGGGAAGGAAGAGAGGGGTGTTGGGGTGGAAGCAGTGACATTAACGACTAATTACATA